ATATATATAGCTTAAGGAGCTCTGGTGGTGTAGTGGTTAAGGCATTTGGCTGCTAACCAGGAAGTTGTTGTTTCAAACCTATCTGCTGCTCCTCAGAAGAAAAATGAGGCAATCTGCTTCCATAAAGATTTACAACCTTGGAAACCTAACGGGGGTTACTATGAGTTGGAATTGAGTCGATGACAGTGACTTTGATTTGGTATATATAGCTTAGGGTTATGATCTCAGGATTGGAAGTCAGACAGCCTATGTAATCTGAAGGCAAGTCACTCAACCTCTATATAGTCTTTTTTTAATTCATTTGCCTATTTACTCACAGATCCATTTCCTATCCTTAACTTATTCTGCTCTGCACTGCAGATAATAATTCATGTAAATTACACTTCCCCAGTTTCCTTTCAACTGGCATCCTACTGGGTTTGGCCAATGAGAGGCAGTAGAGGAAGATTAGTAGACGGAAAGAGAAGAGAAATCAGGGGTATTTCTCCCTGCCTTCTCCTGTTTGGGCTCTGGAAATGGTCCCTGGAAATGGCTGAGTCTCCTGTGTTTCTACTGGGCTTCTGTAATTTCTGACTTGTAGTAACATGGCCTCCTCCTTATATGTCTGTAGGTGTTGGAGGACAAGTAATTGACTGCTATTGCTAATCTCTGAGTTGCCTCACCATTCCTATTTTTTCCTTTCCCCCTATTCAACACCTTTATAAATTTCTTCTATTGAACCGAGTGTGGACTCTGTTTCCTGACTAATACACTCTGTATGTCTATTTACTTACTTGTATAAAAAAGATAATAATAATATAACATTGTGCTGTTCTGGAGATTAATGTATATAAAGTGCCTGACACAGAGTAAGCACTCAGTTGATGTTAGCTGATAATATTATTTAGAATATCTTCAGCTTAAATCTCTTTAGTGAATGAGGACAAGAGTAATGAAATTATATCTTTATGAGGAGGAAAATGTTTCAAATAAGAAATGGTTTATACACAAACTTTATCAATAAATGTAGTTTCTGCAGATGTTAGAAGTGTTCTGGTGACACATTGGTTAAGCACTCGGCTGCTAACTAAGAGGTCGTTGCTTTGAACTCACCAGCTACTCTGCAGAGAAAGATATGGCAGTCTCTTCAATAAAGATGACAGCCTTGGAAACCCTACACAGCAGTTCTGTCCTGTAGGGTTTCTATGAGTCAGAGTTGACTTGATGTTAATGGATAACTGCAGCTGATATGTAGTTGTCAGTCAAAAATAATTAATTTGTTTGGTCATGTTGATCATGTGTTTGAAAACCCTACAAGGATAGCAAGTTGGTCATTTAGATGCATTGCTAAAGTCCATTAACTAGCTAATGTCCATCTAAGAACAGCAAATCAGCAAACTGCTGTGACACTAGAATTTCCACTCTCAGTTTAATCATCTGTTCATTTGGCTGACTCTGCTGTGCTCACAAAACAAGTATTAACACACTAAAATATTAGTTGACCTCACAAAATTATTAACTGTGATGGTGCATATATTTCCACCCCCACCCTTCTAATTCTGATTTCTGGAGTTTTAAACGATATGCTCAGAATGTTTGAGCTTGGTGCATCCTAAAGTAGCTTGATTAGTAGAGTGGAAGGTCTGCTGTGCACTTATTTTCCTACTCTCCTTGGCTCACTAATGATGCTTGTGAAATCACACTTCTTTCCTGAGCCCTCAAATTCTGTATCCAGCTCCCTACTGGGCATGCCCTCTTGGATGATATTTGTTGTTGTTATGTGCTGTCGAGTCGGACTCATGGTGACTCCTCATTGGGTTTCCAAGGCAGTATCACTACAGAAGTAGATTGCCCCATCTTCCTTCTGAGGAGTGGCTGTAGATGATATTTAGTCATCTAAAAGCTAGCGTGCTTAACTTGGAGCTTTTTTCTTATTTCTCTTGAAAACTGGTCCTCCATCCAGTAAATGGTGAAATACTTCACCCCGTTCCTGAGATAGCCAGAACCCATGGGTATCTCTGATGCCTTTCTTTCCCTCAGTATCTGCATCCAGTTCATCGCCAGGACTTAGTGAGTCTGCACAAGCCTGGCACTTTTCTGCTTCTCCATGGCCATTCCAAGCAAAGCTGCCAGTACCTCTTGTGTGCCTGCATTTCTGACTGGGCTCCATCTCCCATACTTTCCTCCTTTCTTCCTCTCAGAAAGTCATCCTTTTAAAATGTAAATCAGATTGTGTTAGCCATCTGCTACAAACCCTCAAAGGCTTCCTCCTGCAACTAGAATAGAACAGAAATTTCTTTCCAAGACCAACAAGGCCCTACATAATTTATCCTTCACTAATTTCCAACCTCATATTTTGTCTCTGCCTACTCTGTTCATTCCTCTCCTCACTGAGAACTGGCCTGTGGCAGTTCCTGGAACACATCAGGGCCTGTTTCTTCTCAGTCTTTTCATTTGCTGATCCCAGTGCTTGCTCCTCCCTTTCGGTCTTCAGTGTTCAAGGTGAATGTCACCTCTACAAAAAAGCCTTACCTAACCACCCTTCCTGCCACAGGGTCCCTGGTCATTATCTATCAAAGAAACTCCTTTCTTTCTTCATAGCACAAACACCAGTCTGCCATCATTTAACTCTAAGGTTCTTGTCTGTTTTCCTTTGTGTCCCTGGTCAATAGCAAAGTGCCTGAGACATCATAGATACTCAGTGAATAAATGGTTAATTGAGTGCATATAAAACATCAAAACCCACGTGTGAGAGTTGTACTTGGTAAGGTGAGGTAAGCATAGGATTCCAGAACTTTCCAGCCCACTCATGGTATAATCCATATCAGTGACGCCCTCATATAAAATGCTCTGCTGCCTGGACTGTGTTCTGATCAAGTTTAATTATTATTAGTGGATTGATTAAAAGATAAACCTTGTTCCTATTCTATTAATTCCACATTCCATAAAGGAAATAAATTAATGTTTATGTCTTTGCATGCATTAATCATAGATTATTTAGCATTGCATTTTTAGTGACTTGGTTACAAGACAAAAAAGGAAACCCAACAACAGGAAAATTAATCATTTTTAGAGAATTAAAACTTCTGATGTTGTTGTTGCTGTTCTTATGTGCCTGAGTCGGACCCAATTCATAGAGACCCCTCCTTGGGTTTCCAAAGCAGTATCACTAGGGAAATAGATTGCCCCATCTTCCTTCCGAGGAGGGGCTGGTGGGTTTGAACTGCCAGCCTTCTGGTTAGCAGTCAAGTGCCTTAGGCACTATGCTATCAGAGCTCCCAAAACTTCTAATAGAAAATCAAAAAGTCTTATGATATTATTATGACAGAATACCCATGTGAGGAGTTACACATTATTACTAGAACTGGGAAAGTAGTTAGTTCATTTTCCTCTTGGGGCATTTCCACCACACTAGAGGGGGCTGTTGTACTGAGTTTTCTTATTTAATGTTAATTTTTTTTTTTTTTAATATAGATCCTGTTGCTTTGCTTAAACATGGGATCAGAAACATATAAAATTGCAATTTCTACCCACAAATCCTTTCCACCTGGCAAATCACTGGAGGAATCACTGATCTTTATAAAACAAGGAAGTGACTATTATTCCAAGTACCTATCGAATCCTCCCAAATTCAGAGGAAGCACCCCAGACCCATTCAATTATTACTTGGCAAGGTTACAAATATTATACTTGATGTCCAACTATCCACTGAATTGTATTATTTATGCTTATTCTATTCTGTTTTCTTTCAAGGCAGAGAAATGAGTATTATTTTCTGCATTTGTGCTATACTGACCTCTCAGAAAAGATGAGCTAAAGTCTAGATAGCTCTTATCTTTGTTTGGGAGCCAGAGTAATTGAGTACTCATGGAATAAATATTTAAAGTTGTGTATTTAGGTATAATTGTATATAGAGTGGCAGAACTTTAGAAGGTAAGAGACTGGCCATATAACATTTTAAAGCTTTTTTTTTTTTTAATTTTTCACTTTTGTAAAGCCTAATAATTCTTTGATGATCTACAATGTATTTACCTAATTATTTATTTATAGAATAGCAGATTCCACATGTGAGTGCCCACGGTATGTTAGGTAAGGTAATAGAAGGGTAGGAAACTGTTGTGTCTAGAGGTGAGCAGGATGCATGGATCTGGAAGAGATTGTCAGATCATCTTATGCTCAGGACAAGGAAGTAGTCTTCCCAAGGTCATGCAGTAAGGATTCCAGTTCAGCATTCTGACTCCCAGCCCAGATCTCTTTAGTATGTAAACCTTTCAATATTAAGGACTAGGTAGTCATTCAAGGAGTTCTGGTGGTATAGTGGTTCAGTCATTTGGCTGTTAACCAAAATGTCAGTGATTCATCATTGTAAGCAATCCATGATACCAAGCAGTTTTGTTCCTGTTTTGCAAAAAGAAAACTTACAGATGAAAAAAGTTTTTATATACTTGGATATCAGAAGTTAATTATAGTATAACAGGGAGACTAGAATTCAGGAGGCTCCACCCTGTATTCTGACTATATAGCCACTAAGAGGCACTCTTTCCTAGAAGAAAAAAATATCAGATATGTAGAGAGAAGCAGAAAGTTCATTTTCCACAGTCAAATTTCTTTTTCTGTGTTAGCTATATATTACCTAATGATAAACATCAGTTAATATGGTGAAAGAAAAACTGCCATTTGGGAATGATAAATGTTGTACTCTATTCCTCTTCTTTCACCTACTGTGGATACTAATTTGACATCATCCTCTCTTTACTCTCCCCCCAGGACTGCTCTATGTTGGTTTTAGTGCCTGCATGTTTGGTCTGTACAGCTTTATGCCAGTCGTGATAAAGAAAACCAGTGCCACTTCCGTCAACCTCTCTCTGCTCACTGCAGATTTGTATAGTCTGTTCTGCGGACTGTTTCTCTTTCACTATAAGGTAAGTTGAGTCAGTACTCTTTTGGGAAGATGAAACTTGCTAGGAAATAATGCAGTGGGTATAAGTAGGAATGTCCTGATATAAAACACCTGATTTTGTACCAGGAAACCAAACTCAACTTTGCTTGTGCTAACCTCATGTTTTAGATATTGACATTTCAGACCAAGGCACCATTTTATCACTAGAGACTTAGTAACTACAGACATTTGATAGTGAAAGATACCAAACAACCATAGAAGAAAAGGCTTTTGAATTTTGGGGGACAGTTTTTCAGACACTATTCTGTCCAGAAGACGCTTTGGTGGCATAGTGCCTAAGGCATTCAAGGGCTAACCAGAAGGCTGACGGTTCAAACCCACCATCCACTCCTCGGAAGGAAGACTGGGCAATCTACTTCTGTAGAGATACTGCCTCGGAAACCCAAGGAGGGATCACTATGAGTTGGGACCGACTCGACTGTAGTGAGTTTTAGATTCTGTCCAGAAGGTACTCTTTCTCTAGCCTAAAGCTAGGAAGATTTGCAAAACGCCCAAACTACAACCACAAAATGGATCCTGCCAAAGGCATTGGCAGAGTATTACCTCATTGGAGGAAAGACAGAATTCCTGCAGTTTCTGCTTTGCAGATATTTTTATATAAATATGAACAGGAAATGCTAATGCATTTGAATTAGCTTCTTTGCTAAAAGATTGGGGTTTGAGTAAAAGAATGCAAAGAGATATTGTGAAATATTTGCAGTTAATAGAGCAGTCTAAAGAAAGGAAGAAACTGCCTAAGACATTTGACTGCTAACCGGAAGGCTGGCAGTTCAAATCCCACCAGCCACTCCTAGGAAGGAAGATTGGGCCATCTACTTCCGTAGTGATACTGCCTCAGAAACCCAAGGAGGTGTCGTTATGAGTTGGATCTGACTAGATGGTAGTGAGACAGACAGATATCCAGGCCAAAGATGATAATGTCTTAGAATGCAAAAGTCTTCGTGGTCCTTACCTAATACAAGTGTTGATTATGGCACACTGAGTTCAGACACTATTCTTCTTAACACAGCAGTCATTGCAGCCATTAACAGTCAATTAGAACTGACATGTAAGAAGCAACCCATTTGCCATTCCTTAACTAATCCTCTACGTGCAGACCACACCAAGTAACACTATCAAAGAGTGGCACCAAAATGACTCGCTACAAAATTTTTGTGCAGTGTTTCAGCAGAACTATTATTTTTCACAAAAATATCCCTGTAGTTATAACAACAAAAACATTTTTTGTAAGCCCTGCTGACATGTATCAATAGACCTACAAGGTAAAAACTCTATGCTAATGTACTTTCTGAACCTTCTAATGCACTGTGATCAAAACTGTCTGTATTGCCAATTAAAATGGCACATCGAAACCTCTGGTTCCGTCGGCTTGCACTGCAGGCACACGCAGTTGCTTTTGTGGCTGCTGGTGTTTCCATAGTTGTTGATTTTGTCCAATTTTCTGGTGTTTTAGCTACAATGTTTTGGTAATTAATATTTGTAGACCTGTCTCAATATTTTTTTTTAAGAATGAAGTACTACTTAAAGAAAAATAGAGAAAAATCAAAAAAGGCTTCCACTCAGTTACTAATAATATTGTAATTAATAATGTTTTAATTCAATGTAGATTTTTCAAAACAATTTTGTTGTTAGTATTCATATAATCTAAGAAATATAACATTTAAGCAATTCACCACTGTATTCATCATGTATTATTCTATGATAAAAATTGATGATAAGCATTACCAAGGAGTACTACTGTATGATCTGGTAGAAGAAGAGATCTCTGGGAGGGTGACACCATGAATTCCACACCAAGTGGCACCAACCCTAGTTGATTTACCCCATGGGTTCAATGTAGACTATGATGTAGTGTGGAGCAGGTCAAGTGTAGAATGTCTAAGCAGAAAAAAACAAATTTGTTATTGTTGTTGTTAGTTGCCATATAGTCGGCTCCAACTCATGGTGACCCTGTGTATAACAGAATGAAACATACCCAGCCCTACACCTTTTTCATGATCATTAATATGTTTGAGCCCGTTGTTGAGTTCCTTCCAAGCTAGAGGATTCATCTTCTAGGACTATATTGAACAATATTCTGTTGTAATCCATATGGTTTTCATTGGCTAATTTTTGGAAGTAGATCACCAGGCCTTTCTTTCTAGTCTTTCTTTATCTGAAGCTTCACTGAAGCCTATCCAGCACTGGTGACCCTGCTGATATTTGAAATACCCATGGTATAGCTTCCGGCATCATAGCAACACACAAGCCACATAGCATGACAAACTGACAGACAGATGGTAGGAGACCAAAGTAGGTCAGGCAAAAAAAGAAGGAAAACACCAGAGACACTACTCTAGCTACTTCTAGCCAAGTGCCTCACCAGTAGTGTTACATTAAACATTACAAGCATGCTCCCAGCTGATAGGGTATGCTTGGTCAGCAGAGCATCTTCAACCAAGAGAAACCAGGGTTGAAGGTTCCCAGAGAAATGCTGAACTGGAAAGAGTTGTCTAGAAGCAAAACACCTGAAATGAATAATCAAAACTTTTGCTGAGAGAAGCCAAAGTAATAACCAGGAAACAGACTGAAACAGGCAGATAAGGATGAGAAAGAAATCAGCAAACAAAGTTAAGTAGCAAAGGACTAGAAGCAGATCTGGAAGACTGGAGAGATTGGGAAGGTGACTATGGCTGAAGACAGAGTTTCTGCTTTGTTTTGCCAGGTGTGGTGGCAAAAATGGTAGCCTCCACAACCATAAGACCAGAAGAACTAGATGGTGCCCAGCTCCCACTACTGACTTTTCTGAAAGGGCTCACAATAGGAAGTCCTGCATAGAGTGTGAGAAAAATGTGGAATAAAAACAAAACAAAAATAAGAAAGAAAAAACAGGCTTACTGCTCTGATAGAGACTAGTGGAACTCCTGAGAATATGGCCTGGAATTGAACTCACCCTTGTGGCTCAACATTCAACCAAATAATTGATAGGCCTCTAAGGAGAACAGTCACACCAGAGAGTTGTGCACTCCTGGAACAAACAACCATAGGGGATCAAAAGGGCAGCACTGGCCCAGGGAAAAAGCTCAGAAGGCAGGAAAGGATAAGAAAGGAAAATGAAGGGAAATGGTAAACACAGGGAGGAAGCAGGAAGGTGCTTTTCCATTGTGGGGACGGCAATCAATGTCACAAAACAAAATGTGTATAATTGTTGAATGGAAAACTAAGTTGCTGTGTCAACATTACCCAAGTCACTATAAAAAGTTATTAAAAAAAAAAAAAAAAAGATGTTTAGGGAAGAAAAATCTCCTTAACTTCAAGTCTAAGAAAAACCAAATTCTTTCAATAAGCTAGAAAATCCTAATATTCAATTGTTTACTATTATTTTGTATTAAATCTCTCAAGTTGATTTAATAAAGATCTATACCTTCCAAAAGCAAAAAAGAAACTCTCCAGGCATAGACAATATTTATATATTATTTGTAACTTGTGTCTGTATAATGCAATCTGTTTCCCAGATTCACTCTGGTCCTCATTATTCTAATTTTAAATAAAACTCTTTAAAATAATTTGAGAATCTACTGACCAATCAAGAGTTCTGCGTAGAAGTATGAATCCAAAGCCTCGTTAATAGTATGAGTAAGCAATATTAGAATAGTAGACAAATGCTTCATTTCTCTTTTTCCTTCATTCTCATTGTATTATAAATGGCACCACACCATTTAGTTCTGAATAAACCGGCTTTGTATTGTTCTCTAGTTGTTTTATGAACAATAAATCTCCTTAGTTTATTTCTGCAAAGAGATAATCTAAATACTCAATGTAAACCATATATATATATATATATAAAATATTAATATATATATGCACACACACACAAATACACACACACACTTTCCAGGCAATGCTTGAATTTGTAATCAAATGGTTATTGTTTGGAAAATCCATTTTTCCCCCCAAATCCCATCTTGCCTGCCACTGAAGTTGACCTTTTGTTCCCCAGATGGGAGGGTAAGAGCAGGGAGAATGGTAGGACTAAATAATCTCAGGTTTCTTACCATAGTCATGTTGGGCCATCTTGGGAAATTTATTTTTAAATAAGTATATGGAAGAGTTTTCTATCACTATAAAAGTAATTTATGCTTAATCCAAACTTCTTGTTAAATGTTGTTAAATTCAGAAATGATAATGGGTGTGTGTATGTGTTTGGAGTAGGTGGGAGAAGAAGCTGTTATACTTTTATTTATGTTCTTTAGAGAAATATCTGTTCAGATCTTTTGCATATTTTTAATTGTTTTGTTGTCCTTTTATTATTGAGTTGTATGCGTTCTTTCCATATTCTTGATACTAGACCCTTATAGATATATGGTTTGCAAATATTTTCTCCCAATCTGTGGATTGTCTTTTCACTTTCTTCATTGTGTCTTTTGAAGCACTGAAGTTTTAAATTTTGACAAAGTTCAATTTATCTATTTGGTTATATTTTTATAAACAGGAAATTAAGCAAGTAAATCCCACCACTGCCAATGAGCCTCTAAGTTGTCACTGGGTGTTTTCTACCACAGCACCTGTACAGGGCTGCTGTGTTGTTGTTGTTGTTATGTGCCATTGAGTCGGCCCCAACTCATAGCAACTCCTCCTTGGGTTTCCAAGGCAGTATCACTACAGAAGTAGGATTGCCCAACCTTCCTTCCGAGGAGTGGCTGGTGGGTTTGAACCGCCAGCCTTCTGGTTAGCAGTCAAGTGCCTTAGGCACTATGCTACCAGAGCTCCTGCACAGGACTGCTAGAGAATACATTTAATAGCCTTTCATTGTGTGCTCTAAGGGAATGGGTAAAAGTCAAAGCCTAAGGAGAAGAGTCCATTAAGATGAAGGTTTCTTTAACTATATGTAGAATATCATCTAGAGGAAGGTTTAGGCCAGTAATTCTCAACTTTGGCAGCACACTGGAATCACCGGTAAAGTTTTTTAAATGCCAATGCTCA